CCGTAAGGCATTTTTGTATTTGTTTTTTTTGCTCGACGATTTTTTTTTTTTTTTTTTGTTAAAAAAAAAAAAAAAAAAAAAAAAAAATACGACTTCGCATAAAAATATACATTCTAGTGATAAATCCTCAATGAAGTTCATTGGCTTGGCTTTATTCGTTCTATTAGATAATGAATTGAAACTTTACAAAATAACACCGCATAGTTAATCATCTGATGTAACACACGACTGTACATAAGTACAGGTCAAAAATCACTATTAAATTCCACTAAAATAAACTCGTAATTTCTTTATTTTTTATATATTTGATAACATTAGTTATTCCTTATATTTCGATACTTTATTAAAAAAAAAAAAAAAAAATAGGTGGGAGAAACTTTTGGCCCATTCTAATATGATGACACGTCCTTAAAATTAACGCCGAAGCATTTGTTCGTCGTCGAATAGTTTTAGGGACCAACTGGTGCAACGCGGCACAGTCGTCGCTGAAACGAGGGAAGACGACCTTAGCGTCAATCAATTGGCAGTATTTTCTGCGTGGACGTCGCGTCGTTACAGTTTGATTTGTCAGAAATCATCGACTCGAAATAACTCCTCTTAGTTGCAACATTGATGAATGATGGAATTAGTGACGGCTTCGATTTATTTTCAGGAATTTCGAGAATGTCGCGATGGAATTTTTAGGGAATTTTGTAAGCTACGATTTGTTAATAAGACAAGTACATTGCGCTATGCGATATATGTTTTTAGTTGCAAAGTACAGTTTACTTCGCATTTTCTCAAAGTAAATTTTAATTTACTATCTAGCAAAAAATCAAGTATGGAGGCGTGTTTTTTTTAAGTGTGTTTTAGTTGAAAATTTGTTCTTCGTTTCTTGCTGATTACACTGTATTCGAATCCTTTGAGCTTGAATTATAAAACACAACTTATTGATTCTCGATCTAAATCTTTCGATCATAATCTTTTGTTAGTTTTAAAAAACAGGGATACAATGTTGCAAAAAAATGATCGGCGGAACGATTTTCACTTGGTTTCTAAAAACAAATAGGTTCTTTGTTCAAAATAGAAAATAATATTACTAAATGAGAGATTGTTGTATATCAGAATGGCAGATTATTTCGATCGTATTATACCAAACAAAATGGCTATTTGTCTGAATCGGTGAACAAGAAACGTTTTGGCGCTGCATGTGGCATGCTACTCAATAAAGTTCAAACGTTTGCCTGGCAATTTATTGGGTAGTCCCTGTAACATGCGCGGACCTTGTGCAACGTGAATTTATCGAACGTGGTAACTTGCATTTTTTATGGATTACGATGAGATACTCCGGCCTTTGGAAAATATCCTCCGAAGCATTATAGGTGGCGCAAATTGTTATCCCGTTGAGTCTCGAATTCTGACGTTAATTAATTCCGATGTCAATTCACTCTGAGTTTGGTTGACCGTAGAATAAATCGGTACGTATCCAGAAAGATATCGTTCACGTGCAAACGGAATTAAAAAGTGACAGGATAAAAACGACCCGCAACGACACATCAGACCTCCATCTTTCGTTTCGAATAGAAATTACCAAAGTTCCCCATAAAAATCCAACAGGTGTGTGGCTCGATCGACTCGTCTTCTATAACAAACGTGGCCAGAGTATTCTCTTCCTCGTGCCGCGGCAGCGAAGACAAAATCGTAAGGTGGTAAATTTCGTTGAAAGAGGGAGCCATCGCGGTTGGTACGCGAAAAGAAGGAAGAAGGAAGGGGGCCATCGTGGAGTAAGGTCGTCGATGAATACTTCTTGATTTTCGAGCTATCAAACCGCACAAAAGGAGGGGGGACGGCGTTTGAAAAAGCGAGCGAAGGACCAGGCGTTTTGATACGGCGAAGCGTTTTTTCTCGGGGTGAGACGAGAAGAGGAACGGTCGGGATTCGACCCCTTTTTTCGCCGAAGAGAGAGCGGCGAAAGGGGCGGCCATGTTGGGTCTCTCCTCAGCCATTTTTCGGGCACACGCGGACAAAAAAGGCGGGTTAGGGCCCCGTTCTCGGTGAAAAACCGCTTCTAAAGAAGGACCACGTCAAATCTGACAGGCGGAGGGACGAAGGGGGGGCCACATATGGCCACGTTAAGGGCCGAAAAGGGCCCGCCTCGTCGCGTACACGTCTTCTTCTCGTCTCTGCTGCCGTTTGAAAAAGAACAATCCTCTTCGTTCTCTCTTTCTCTGTGTAGTCGAGGGCGCGTGTTTCCTCCTCCTCCTCCTTTTCTTCTTCTTCCTTCTCGTGCTCTTCTCCTTTTTCTTCGCTCTGTCGAAGAGATTCTTCCGTCTTCTTCCGTCGACTCTCCCGCAGGCGATAGAGGAGGCATTCATTCATGCACGCATTCCCAGAACGCACTGTGTTGTGGCGGCTTGCGTGCATGTGTTTTGGAAGGTTCTGAGGTTATGGTTGGTGGTTCCCTCGTTGGAAATCCCAACTTGAGAGATGCGCGAAGAACAGCAAACTCTCTCTGAGCTAGATTGTTAAAAAAAAGTCTAGACTGAAGAAAAAAAAAGAAAATATACGTGTGCATTTTTTTCGTTTTTGGAACATGAATGTAGTATTCTTAGACGTGGGAGAGAAAGAAGGACGAAATGCAGAGAACCGCCTAGAAACCGAGGTGTCGTAACGAACAATGAAGTTCAAATGTAGCGTGCAACAGTGTCGAGATGTCTTGTGTTGTTCCCTTTCTTTTTCACCCACCGATCCAAACGTTCTGGATCGTTTGCGTTTTACTGCGTTGTCGGACAGAATAAAACAGAACACACAGAGAGACGGCAGATTCAATCCAAGTCTTGTTGTGCAACTGGTCGTCATCACACACGATGCAGGCACGAGAGGAAATCGAGGAGTTTTTCAGCTCCTGCTGAAATTCTTCTTGCTCCCTTTACAGTAATTATTTAACATCCTTTGATTTCTCGTTAATCAAATTTAACCTTTGGCCGATTATCGCTGATTTGTGTCGAATCGGACATACGGAACATCTAGAAGTTTCTTTCGCTCGTCAATAATATTATATATATATATGGATAGTTTTCAAAAGTTTTAGCAGCCGGGGATCGTCCAGTCGCGCGCTATCTTGACCAAATCCCCTGTTTTTCCAGCGGATCTTTTTCCCCCCTGTACAAACTGCAGAGTCTGTTTTTTAACCAAAGGACGGAAATCCCTCGTTGCGTTTCGGTTTGAATACGTTCGACATCTATATCCGTCGTTCTCTGTTTTTTTTTCTTTTTCTTTTCTCTTCTTCTCTTCTTTTTCCTTTCGTTTCGTAGCAGTAGCATTCTAACCAACGGAAGCATTTTCGTGTGACGACGTTACCCACGTATAGAAACGGTACACGCACACGTTCCCTTAAATGGTGTCGAGTTACTCGTCAGCTTGGAACACACAGCTTATGTAAGTACATCAAGAAGTTTCGATCCTCGTGGTGTGCGCGCCTCCCTCTCGCCCCCCTCTGGTCTGTTGCTCGCGTTAAAGTTTCACCTTGCAAAGATAGAAATATTGCGTTCTTTTCTATTTCCACGTCGGAGGAGAATTGGGGAGGGGATGAAGGAAACTGAGAAAGAGAATTGTTCCATGATCACGCTGGGCTTATTATTTTAGTAGATTATATTATATCGTAAATAGCACAACTCACGAGTGACTTGTAAATAATAATGACTTTTTTTTTTTTTATGTCAAAAGCTTCCACGAAACCTCGAGGCACGAGTGTCCCGCTCGATGCCAACTATTTCATTCCTGAATCGAGCCGCGAATCACAAAAGATTAAGAGCCTATAAAGAACTCTTAACCGACAGTCTGTCAGAGTATTTTCAGTTGCGAAAAGTCATGAAACGCGGCAGTATATTCATTTTCGATAAATATTCCGTGCCTTGTGATTTAAATGGCAGGGAAGTCTCCCCATGTTCGTGCCGCCATTTTTACCTACGCCGTGATAGTAAGAAATTTATTGTAAAATATTATAAATATTTGTAATAAAGTTCATAAAATATTTATTATAAAGTTTGTTATAAAATTTGTAATAAAGTTTATTTATAAATTAATAACAAGGTTTATTTATAAACTTTATTTAAAAAATTTATAAGGTTTATTTATGAATTTATTTATAAAGTATATTTATTATAAAGTTTGTTACGAAATTTACAATAAAGTTTATTTATAAAATATTTATTATAAAGTTTGTTATGAAATTTATACTAAAGTTTATTTATAAATTAATAATAAGGTTTATTTATGAACTTTATTTAAAAAATTTATAATAAAGTTTATTTATAAATTTATTTATAAAATATTAGTTTATTATAAATATAAAGTTTACTATAAAATTTATAATAAAGTTTATTTATAAAATATTATAAAGTTTACTATGAAATTTATAATAAAGTTTATTTATAAAATATTATAAAGTTTACTATAAAATTTATAATAAAGTTTATTTGTAAAATATTATAAAGTTTACTATAAAATTTATAATAAAGTTTATTTATAAAATATTATAAAGTTTACTATAAAATTTATAATAAAGTTTATTTGTAAAATATTATAAAGTTTACTATAAAATTTATAATAAAGTTTATTTATAAAATATTATAAAGTTTACTATAAAATTTATAATAAAGTTTATTTGTAAAATATTATAAAGTTTACTATAAAATTTATAATAACGTTTATTTATAAAATATTATAAAGTTCACTATAAAATTTATTGTAAAATATAAACCAGAAATTTACGATGGCCGCTGGTTCATAGTAAACCACCATACGTACATAACAGGATATAAATGAAAGTCGAGTCATTTAGATAAATTATTGAAATTATACTGCAAACAAGAGCAACAGATAACGCGTGAGTCATAGTTATTATTTACTCTGTTCCATTAGTTACACAATTTAATAGAAGAAATAATATAATTACTGACTAGATCAGTTTATGGAAATATCCTCGTAATATCCTCTTTCAGGCGAATCTGACCGAGAAATGTACGAAAAAGAAATTTTTTTTAGGTCACCAGTTTAGCGTCCCTCCGTGTGCAAAATTTACGATCGTTTTACCGCCGTTGTTCTTTGATCGTGTACGAATGTGAATATTTGGCATGAAAACGCAGATTTTCTGGCAGACGACGCGCAAAGTAAATTCTTCCGTACGATCGTGGCATGGAGACGGGCCGCCGCTGTGATCAGTCAGATAAAGCGTCATTTATTTCTCCGTGAATTTCGACGCGACTGCCACCTATGCAGAGGTCGATAACTCTTCCGCGTGAAATCCGCTGGCTATTCGTCTTTCATTTGGTTATCCGTGCGCTGCAACTGCTGCATTCGTAATTATCCAGTCGTTAATCTTGTAGGACACGCAGAAGGGAGTGGGGAATTTCCTCTTAACGACATCTTCGAATTAATACGTTCAATCGGGGAAGGCGAGCCGGGGAAGCCGAAGATTCTTCAATTGAGATTAATTGCCACGCTGTCCGCGTGACTCCGAAATTTTGTCAAATGAGCGGCGATGGGTTTTAATCGAAGCTCGCGAAATTAACTTCTCAGCTAGACGATTAATTCAGGGTGATTTAAAAGGGATTCTTCTACATCTTTTGCATTGCACTGGTGTATTGTACTTTATTTGACATTTACGGACAGTCTTCAATGGAAGGAAGTCAATAAATCGGCGAAATACATTGCGAGAAAAAAAAAAGGAAAAAAAAGAAAGAAAAAAGAAAAAGGAAAAGGAAAGAAGAGAAGAAATCGTCGTCATAAATCTAGAGATAAGTTGCCTCTAGGCGCCTTATCTGGACTCACCATCTCGCTCATGATCGATTTGCATATTTTTCAATAAAATAAAGGACGCTCGGTGGGTGTTCCGTCGCGGTATCTTTCACCAGATTAAATCTGTTTCACGCGACGGGGATCGATCCAACCGCTCATTGACATGATCATTAACCAAGATTCCTCCTGGTGGCGGTACAGAAGTTTTCGTTCGAGGTGTGTTCTTCCCCTCTCCCCTAAAACTTACTCGTTGTTTGTGTACATCCCTGAACGAAGTCGAAGAATAGAAGTCGAAGACAGGCAGATATATCCGTTCGCTCGTGTAACAAGCTCCTCACAGAACGAAGATGACTACCGAGTGGCAGGTTCAACGTAATCCGGATTAAAGAATTCCGAAACACCAAAAGCGTTTTAACGCTCTCTCTCTCTCTCTCTCTCTCTTTCTCTCGGTCCTATTAGCCGGACGCAAGAACTTCTGAATTTACCCCTGCAACGATGTTATCGCTCTGTCACGCATTCAACAATCTCGAATTATCGATCAATCAGTGGTATTAACTTTTGAAATAGGAAGTGCGAAGATTTAACTACGAATATTTAATTCATACTTATCGGAACGCGCACAGAGAAGTTTGTTAATTACAAAAGAAGATAACTTGCGTTACTTATAGTCATTGATTTATCGTTCTACGATATATAACTACATTCATGTTGGACGAAGTCAGAGTTCAACAGAGAATTTTTTGTCCCAAATTGCAACATTTTCCTCAGTTTTAAGTATATTTAAATGTAACCCAGGCAAAACAAATGATAAGTATATAATTGTTAATAATTGGTATGTACTTTTTAATAATTTCTATCCAGTGATATACCGACGAGTTCAAAAGAAAAGGAAAGCTACGAATTATTGTATACGGTTTGGTCACTCGTTATGGTCCGCAATCAGTTGTTAACCTCTTGCGCTGGAATGACGTGCCACGCATGTAGAGAATTTTTCGTCCCAAAATTGCAATATTTTCTCAGCCTTAAGTGTATTTGAGTATAACTCAGGCAAAACAAATGATAAGTATATTACTTTTTAATAATTTTTATCCAGTGATATACCGACGAGTTCAAAAGAAAAGCTACGAATTATTGTATACGGTTTGGTCACTCGTTATGGTCCGCAATCAGTTGTTAACCTCTCGCACTGGAATGACGTGCCACGCATGTAGAGAATTTTTCGTCCCAAATTGCAATATTTTCTCAGCCTTAAGTATAACTCAGGCAAAACAAATGATAAATATATTACTTTTTAATAATTTCTATCCAGTGATATACTGACGAGTTCAAAAGAAAAGGAAAGCTACGAATTATTGTATACGGTTTGGTCACTCGTTATGGTCCGCAATCAGTTGTCGTTAATCTCTTGCGCTGGAATGACGAGAATTTTTCGCCCCAAAATTGCAATATTTTCTCTTAAGTGTATTTGAGTATAATTCGGGCAAAACAAATGATAAGTATGTTACTTTTTAATAATTTCTATTCGGTGATACACCGATGAATTCAAAAGGAAGACGAATTATTGTATACGGTTTGGTCACTCGTTATGGTCCGCGAACCAGCGCAAGAGGTTAGAGTTCTTTCTCGGCTAACCATAAACATTGTGTTCTACGTGTTGTAGAAATTACAAACGATCCATGGGAAATATTTTCTCGTAAAAATTACGCGATCGATGGAATCGCCACGGAGAGGGTCAGGTAGAGAAAAGAAACTGGTGAATACGCTCGATCGCGGAGGAAGTGAGAGACGAAGAGGCAAAGTTTGTAAACAGAGGCGGTGTGTACACGGTAGGCCGCGCATTCCCATTATTTTAGGCCGAAGAAATTCTTTCCTATCTGCTTATGGAATCAGCTGCCGGCCAACAAGTCCCTTCTTCTCTTCGGCGCGCTTCTCTTCGACGTGCTCACCTGCCGGGCGGACTGGATCCAGAGAGCAAGAGAAGAAACTGTGTGAGAGCCGCTTCTTCCCCTGCTTGGGAAAATCGTTTCTCAGCTTGCCGACACACAAACTGACCAACCGATTTTCAATTTGCTCTTTCCACGTCCGTTCGAGTTCTCTTCATCCACGATGTGAAAAGCTTGCCTTCTTGCCTTTCCTCCGACGACAGGCCAATCTCTGTTGAAAGGAATCTCCTCCTCTCCCGAGGATGATAACTTGTCTTTTTAACCTCTAGCGTTGGAATGACGTGCCACGCAGTCGAGAACTTCTTTTTGTCCCAAATTGCAACATTTTCTCAGTTTTAAGTATGCATTTAAGCGTAACCCATGGAAAACAAATAATAAATTCATTATTTACTTCTCGTTGATTTCTGTCCAGTGATATCGTACCGACGATTGTTCGAAAAGAAAAAGAAAGCGACGATTTGTTGTGTACGGGTTTGGTCACTCGTTATGGTCCGCAATCAGTTGCCAGCGCCAATGGGTTAACCTCGTCTCCTCCGTAATTTTATTTTGAAGCTCTGTGAAGAAGCTAAACTTCAGATAGCGAGAATATTATTGGACAAGTTATTCCTTTGTGTTATTGATTAAAAATTTCTCGTGACACGATTCATTTTTTTCGACTGACGAAAACAACGGCAATTGAACTGTGCGTGCGATGAACACGCGTGCAGGCGTGTGTTGTTATGTCGGTTAAGCTGGAGATTGTTTCTTCTTTTTCCTCGTTTTTCCAACGCGGTCTAATAATATTGTCTCGCGGTCTAATAATATTTCTAACGCGGCGACGAGCGCAATCGGATCGCATCTCCGACCAGAATAGAAGCCGAAATCTCAGATCTTCTTGGCTCGGCTTTTAGCCGGCTTTCCCACTGGTCACCTCCCCGCGTCTTTTGCTCTTTTTACTCATTTCCCGTCCTTTTCTAACTCGCGATGAAGATATACGGCCCAAACGTTTACGCGTGTCTCGTGTCGAGACGCCACGCTGACGATCGTTGGAGACGCGGCATTTACGTCTCACGCCCTCGAAATTCCTCTGCGCTTTACGGGGCTCTTAATCAAACGGATCCGAAAAATTGTCGAATAATCGGCAAACGAAGAATGTACAATATT